ATTCTGGGAGTTGAAGTCCACTCATCTTAAAGTGGCCAAGTTTGGACAACACTGACCTACGCTTTTCTGAGGTCTGAATTTAATAACCTTTCTGCAGGCTCTACTAGTCGGACATTCTCGTTTGGGGAAATGTTCAGTAGCATTGTTAGAAGAACTCTATGCACACAATCAGAGTGAAATAGTTTATATGCATAATCATACACTGGAAATATCTCAAATGTCTAAACAAAATGTAATGTAAAGTATATTGCAGGAATAATTGGAACATTATTAGTGTAAACAGGTATATCTAAAATGACAGTTTTATCACCGGGTTGCATCACTCACTTCTTCCTAAATAGCAATGGTAACAACAACAACAACAACAACAATAATAATAATAATAATGCTTTCAGATAAGAATATATAATGACAACCAAAAGAAGAAGAACAAACAATGACTACAAATGGAAAGAAACAGGGCTGACAAAGTGAAGAATACAGGAGATAACTGATTTTGTAGTATCAGAGTCACAAATCCATATCAAGTAGTCTTGGGATGGATGAGGATTGAATGAAAATAACCCATCTTCTAGGCATTACACTGATCGATTCAGACATGGCAGATTCTTTCTGTCTTGCTCTCTGAAAACCCAGTCATTTATTTCCTTTTCTAATTTAGACCTGACTTTCTAGAGATGAGAGATTAAGACTACAAAAAAGAATCTGGGGCAAAACCTCAAGCCCCCTCTTCAATTAGTCAAAGTACATAAGTGCTACTGGAAGACTCAGTGACAAATCGTTTTAAGAGAGGTAGCAGACACATTCCTGTGCTCCCACAGGATACAGTGACTAGAATTTCCAATGTTGGAACTCAGGCTGGAAGACAATGTTCTTTTGAAGAAGATAAATATGCGAGCCAAGATCTGGTGAAGTGTGGCTCAAAATTAAGCTTTCAGCCAGCAGCAACTGTGATGTAATATAGTTCATAACCCTTGGGGACTAATAGCCTTCAACAACAGAAAAGACCAATAATTTTCAAATTCCACATGGATAAACTATATTGCAATCTGTAACTATAATCATACAAACACCAAGAAACTGAGGGCACCCTAAAGACTAACGGATGGTGTAGATTTCCAAAAACTGGAGGCTACCCTTCCTTGATCCTCACAGAGAAGATTAAATACACATGTGTATGTTCTCACTGTTTACAGTTTTCTAAAGAGCCACAAAATGCAACAGCTTCCACTGGTTTTCAATTACTGTCAGATGATGTAATATTGAAATAATCCCACAGATTTTAACAGTATAACAACAATTCTTCCCCTTCTTAATACTACAGAATCAAGACTAACGTGGTCATTCTTATGAAGATTAGAAGAACTGTTAGGGCATATCCAGGCCATCCCAACTTAGAAGTTTATTGTGTAGGTGTGTTCAAGATCATGCACAGATTATAAGCCACTTCACTTGAATCAGGTGCTATCCGAGTTACCAAATTATTCATTTTAGGAATATAAGATATAAGAAAAGCCTCGTTGGATCCAGTCAAATGTCCATCTAATCCAGGGTCCTTGGTCACACAGTGGCCCATCAGATACATTCAGGAAGTTCACAGATAGTAGCCCAACATTCTGTTTCTCCCCAACAACTGGTATTTAAAGTATGTTGCCTGTAATTAAGGAAGCAGTAGCTAGCCATCAGGAGAAGTAGTTGTCAATAGTTGTATTCTTCATGATTTGTGTAGTCCTTTTAAAACCCTGTAAAACAGTGGCCATCATCACTTCTGATGGCAGTAAAGTCCATAGTTTACTATGTGTTAGGTAAGAAAGTGCTGTAACAAACTGCATCATGCCACATATCTCTGGAAACGTTTGAGCTTTTCCACTTGCTCCCTGTTTAGATATTCCAAATAAAAATATAAACATGTATTATAATCATTGGAAATGTTGCTTGTCTAGAGAAATGCACAGTCTTAGCTATATATTTGGCTTATGTGAGCCAACTGCTGTACACTGTTGGCAGCAATTCCATCTTTCCTCAATATTCCTTTAAATTATGAAACATAACAATAAAAACAGGCCAGGGATCCCCAGCCTTTTTGGGCTGATGAGTGCATTTGGAATTTTGGAACATAATGTGAGCACTCTCACAAAATGTAGATTTATCTGAATGCTCCCTACCACATTTTCCAGCTTGCCCTCCACAGGAGGCCCCTGATACCTTCCACCTGCAATTGGACATCCTTCAAACAAAGCATTGAACAGCAGCCACCTATCATGTTTATTTTCTACGAAGACTTGCAGCATCCACTGAAGCCCAGAGTTTTTTTTTTTTTTTTTTTTTTGGCAACAAAGAGGGGGCTGGAGATTGGACTTTATAGCCTTTCAGCTTCTCATTTTTGCTTAAGTAATTTTAAAAAAAATAGTAAAAATCAGGTGGGTCAGGAGATTAGTGGCTGCCAAAGGAGACCTCCCTCATGGGCACCTTATCAGCCATAGATGCCGTGTTTGGGATCCCAGGACTTGGTTATCAACTTTCTAAAATCCACATGTTTTGATCCTCTATTTGTAACCATTTTACCCTCAAAACAGTCTTGTCAGAAAGGATAGGCTGTCCCCCTTCATGACTGAAAGACGATCTGAATCTGGACCTGCCTGGTCAGGGCACACTGATTGTCTCACAATCTATTGCTCTTTTTCCTTTTTCTATTGCAATTTTCATGC